ATTGAGTCGCTCCTCCAGCAAGGCATTCTAGTTCCCTGCCAATCGCCCTGCAATACCCCCATTCTACCTGTGTCAAAACCAGGACGCCCGGAATGGAGATTAGTGCAGGATCTCAGGCAGATCAACAAAATAGTCCAGCCTTTACACCCGGTTGTGCCGAATCCTGCGACGATTCTTAGCAGCATCCCCGCCAATGTCTGTGTTTTCACCCTGGTTGACTTACAGCATGCTTTCTTTGCTATCCCTCTAGCAGCAGATTCGCAATATTTGTTTGCCTTTACCTTCAAGGGCCAGCAGTACGCTTGGACACGCCTCCCTCAGGGATTTGTCCATTCGCCCACCTTATTCTCCCAGGTATTGCACCGGCAGCTTTCGGAGCTTCGGCTCCTGGACGGCTCTACCATTGTCCAATATGTTGATGACTTGCTCCTAGCTAGCTCTTCGGAATCTGCTAACATTGCAGATACCAACCGTCTCCTGAACGCTCTCCATTCTTGGGGGTATGTCATACTGCGCACCAAGGTTCAGAGCACTCAGCGCCAAGTCAAACTCCTGGGAACTTTGCTCAGTGCTTCTGATAGGCAATTAACCCCGGAACGTATCGCACCCATCCTAGCGACCCCTCTGCCCACTAGCCCCAAGCAAATGCGTGCCTTCTTAGGCTTAGTTAACTGCTGCCGACATTGGCTCCCTAACGTAACATTACTCACCAAGCAGTTAACCTCTTTGGCCTCAAGCAAGGCTCCAAAGATCTTCACCCTATCGGAAGAGCAAAGGTCAGCCTTCACAGAGTTAAAAATGGCCCTTGCCAGTGCCCCAGCACTCGGAAGACCCTTGTATGACAGGTCCTTCCAGTTGTATGCCAGTATCCTAGAGGACTGTGCAACCGCTGTTTTAACCCAAACCCACGGGGATCGCAGGAGACCAGTGGCCTACTACTCGACTCGTCTTGACCCTGTAGCCATGGGTCTCCCACCTGGCTCACAAATTCTTCCCGCTATCTACTCTCTTGTAACGGCCGCTTCCAATATTACTCTCCAGCAACCCCTGACGGTCTATTCGTCACATGCTATTGTAGCCCTTCTGACTTCCCATCAGACCCAACATCTTACACAGGCACGACTAAGTTGCTATGAGGTAGCTCTTCTTAATAACCCCCTTCTGACTTTCTCCTACTGCTCAACTGTCAACCCAGTACCCCACCAGAAGAGCTCCTAGAACCCCCCCGTGATTGCCTTTTGCGCAACCACTTCTCAACCTCCCCTCGACTGGACCTTTCAGACGCCCCATTACCCACACTGGATCTTACCCTCTTCGTGGATGGTAGCTTTCGATATCACCTTTAGGAGTTCCCCTTTCAGGATACACAATTGTGAACCACACAATCACTTTAGAATCAGCCTCCTTCGATCCTCCGGTATCTGCTCAGAAAGCAGAGCTCTTTGCTTTAACACGGGCTTGTACCCTGGCTACAGGAAAATCAGTAACTATATACACGGACTCACGATACACCTTTGGCATGGCCCTTGACTTCAGCCAGCTATGGTAGCAGCGCGGATTTCTGAGCTCCTCAGGGACACCTATTCAGAACTCACTATACGTCCAAAATCTCCTCAAAGCCATCCTCCTCCCCAAGCAATTGGCCATAATCAAATGTGCGGCCCATGTAATGGACAATACGGATATCAGCAAAGGCAATGCCAGAGCTGATCGAGCTGCCAAAGACGCTGCAACAGCACGCAATTCTATTGTGTCCTCTATGAACCAGCAGGCGTTAAATCGCTCACCTTCCTTGAAAACAACGGGCATACCAGACATTGTCACTGTGCAGCGTTTACAGGGGATGCCCCTGACTCAGAAAAAGAAATATGGAAGACGCATGGGTGTTCGCACTCTGTGTCAAGAGGTCTCTGGATCACTAGTTGGCCAAGTGTGTATACCTGATGCTTTGTTACCAATGCTTATTGACTGTCTTCATACTGATACCCACCTTGGCAAGGAAGGAATGAGTAATATCATGTTACGTACCTGGTGGCACCCCCGATTGGCTGAGGCAGCCCAGAAGCGTGTCAGGTCATGTCTGACATGTCAGCAAAATAATGCCGGCCAAGTAATGCGGTGCATAACAGGGAAAACACCCTTGCCAGGCGGCCCATTTGAGTGTATTCAGCTTGATTTCATTGAATTGCCGCATGTACATTGCTATAAGCATTGTCTTGTTATTGCTGATGTATTTAGCAGATGGATTGAAGCCTTTCCAACCACTAATAATAAAGCCTCAATGGTGGTAAAATTACTACTGACAGAGATCATACCGAGGTTTGGAGTGCCTCGACAGATTAGTTCAGACAATGGCCCCCACTTTGTAGGAAAAATCAACAAAGAACTATGTGAGGTGTTACACATCCAACAACAATTCCACTGTGCCTACCACCCCCAGGGCGGCAGGGATAGTGGAAAGAGCTAACGGAACTCTCAAAGCTAAATTGACTAAGCTAACATCCGAAGCCAGCCTTAACTGGCTAAAGGTTTTGCCTTTAGCTCTGTATCACATGAAAATAACACCTCACTTCACTACTAGACTCTTGGCCGCAGAAATAATTTATGGCCGACCCAGTAGGACCCCTTGGGATGCCGACACAGACCCACCTGCCCATGTAGACTTAAATATTATGGGAGAGGAAATGCAAAGATACTTTCAGCAGCTAACATCATCTCTAAAGTTTCTTCATTCACAGGTAAAGCACGCCTTCGGACCACCATCCCAAGCGACAGATCAGAGCTCAGACGACCAGAATGAACCCCCCAGACTGCAAATGGGAGACCTCATGCTGATCAAAGACTGGGATCGCCCCAAGCTTGAACGCAGGTGGAAAGGACCATTCCAAATACTCCTTCAGACGCCAACGGCAGTCAAATTCCGAGGACAGAGTCGCTGGATCTATCTGAGTTACTGTAAACGATGGGGCCCTCAGATGGCCTAAAGACTACACTCGCACTCTGTGGTATCACGGCCGCCTTCGTGGTATTAGACCTGGAGGACAACTTGTTTTATAAGGCTCATATGCAACTGCATGGTAATCGAACCGTGTGTTACCCGCTTGCCAGTCAGTAGAGGCGTAATCTGTAGCCATCCCTGGGTGGACCCCCTCAACCTGTACACCACAGATACTTCAGACGCCCCCTGTGTGGGTCAAAGCAAGAGGCTCAGAAGGGGAACATCAGGACGGTGCATAGGGCTGATAAATTCAGATAGATCTCAGTCCCCTAGCTGCACAGGAACCCAGGGAAGAAATGGTAGGATTTGCTCTGATCCCATGAGCTATCCACTTTGCTTCTCAGGACGGGGATGCAGTTGTGCATACACTTTGGTCCCCACGAATGTCTCTTGTGCCCAAAGACAATGCGCCCGCAGACATTGCCAGGTGAGCAATGGAATATTCACTGCACCTGTGATGAGGAAAGGTGCTTAAATGTTACTGCAGGAAGACAGTTCATTTGTGGGCAATATAACGGAACCCATGTCAGCTCTGCCTTTTGGTCATATCCTTTTTAAGATTACCAACTGATCGGATCTGGAGGGAATTCTGGCCAGGAAAGAAACTGGAGATATAAACAGTTCACCAGTGCCAATAACAAAGCGGTCAAATGCTACGGGGCCAAAAGGGGGTTTGCGATCCTTCTCAACAGGACCTTTACTATGGCCACCCCGGCTCTCCCCATCCTATTCGCTGCAGGGACAACAGGACCACTTACTGTCCCATGCCCACAGAAAGCACACACCCGCCGCAGAATAGTTACCCGAGCTATTAGTGAGGAATTTTGTGCGGATTGGAAGGACCCAGTAACTCTGGGATCTTCCCTTGGCTACGGGTTCCTGGGGGCGCTGTCCCTCAGAGGATTGGCGGGAGTAATAGCAGCGAAGAACCGGAATTACCTCATTTGTGGGTTAACTATCCTGGGAAACAGTACAGTGAGGGGACTGGAAGTGGTTAATCGGGAATTCGCAGAGTTAAGGCTCTACGCGCAACAGACTAGATATGCAGTGGATTATCAATTGGCCCAACAGTGGGGAGTTTGTACAATAGTAGGAGACAAATGCATCACCCATGTTACGGATGAATCATACAACATAACCCACACCATCCAGTCTATTAAGAAACAATTGGAAGATGTCAGACAAGGTCCTAAGAAAGGAGATGACTGGCTAGGGCGGCTACTGGGGATCCTATCTACTGCATGGGCTAGTAATTCTTGTTGTTATAATCATTGTATGTTGTGTGTTAATAACTTGCTTAAATACTGGCTGTAAGATTCTTATGAATAAGCTGGCGGCGCCTTTCTCAGCCCCCATTTAGTTGGTTATCATGGAATGATAAAAGGAGGGAATGAAATGTTAAAGGGTTAATATCTGTTCTGTTGACATGTAAGAAATTAGGTGCTTCGTGGGCGCCCCTGTCTCACAGACGAAATGCGGTAATCTAATTATACTCTGCTCTCTGTAAATGTTGAATTAAGGCTAAAAGGATAAGGAACTATCTAGTCTTACGCATTGTTTTTGGGCAGCTGACTTTTGTTCTACTGTTAGGTGATTAAGTTACGTACTATCACTGTTGCTAGGCATGTGACTATGGGGGAGTAAAAAATTGTACCTTGCATACATGACTGACTGTGATGTAAAATCCTATATAAAGGGAGGACGGTTCCCTTATTAGACAGCATCGCTTGACACGGCTCCACAAGCCCTGCGAAGTTTGTTAAGTGATCCTCCAAAGCTTGTACTTGCTTAAATAAACTGTGGCTATTCAGAGAAGTTGACGTATTGCGTTTGTATCAAGTGCGAAGGAATCTCTTAAAAGGAAACTCAACACCACCAGGCAAAATTTCAGTAACTCCCTGGCTTCAGATCACTTTGGTAACATTGTCTGACAGACTACTAAAACATAAGTGGGTTCCCAAAGCCCAATTACCGTGTTCAGCTTCTTTTGTTTTGATCTTACCTGGAGGAGGATGGAACAACAGACATGTTTTCAGGTCTCCCTTTGATGCACTCAGAATTAAATAGTGAGAACACTTCAAATGCCATTCCTTTGTTAAAAATGAATAAAATGGGGTCGGGAGGGAAAGGAAGTAAGAAACATTTCTCAATTGAATATAAATATTTATGAATTTGAAATATTATGAAATGAGACAATTTTATGAAATGAGGGAATATTTTCTTTAATTATTAATAGTTAGTATTCAGAATGGTAATTTGCACCCTTAATAATAAATGTACTTACTTAAGTTAATTGATAAGTACTGTAAATGATTTAAAGCTAGGGCAATTAATAGCACAGATCTACTGTCATCTGCCTAATTTCCCATTATGGGTAAAAGAGAACTTTGTCCAACTTTTTAAAATAAAACTGAAGAAAGATTGTCGCTTTTGAAACTGTTTGATGCCTTTCTCAAACAAAAAAAGAATGCTGGAGAAACTGAGCAGATACAGTAGCATCTGTAGAAACAGGGTTAAAATTTCGAGTCCAATATGATTCTTCTTCAGGACTGTTCTGAAGAAGACATTTTGGATTTGAAACATTAACTTTTTGTCTTCCCACAGATGCTACCAGACCTACTGAGTCTCTCTAACATTCTCTGTGTTTGTTTCTGATTTCAACCATCCGTACTATTTTGATTTTATGCCTCTGTCAAATTTAACTTTGGAATAAATTTCCCATGAATTACAGACAGAATTGATATATTTTAAAGTTAAAAGACTGTCCCACTACTTAGTTACATGAATTGAAATATGTTAAATTTACCTCATACTCGTCAAAGGGTTCTAACATTTCAATCCTTCGTTTCTCCTGTTCTGGAATAAATCCAGTGTAAAACTCGTTCATGTCAATACAATGACATTCCTCCCAACCCTGGAAGAGTAAGGATTATAGATAAATACATTTGTCAGTTAAATGCTTTAAAATTTGCTCATGGTGATTGAAACATCTGTTCCTCCTGAGTATGTGGCCTCCATTTGAAGAGACATCTGAGATTGGGAGCTTGTGCAATGGAGGATCTATTCGCATCATATATGAAAGAAGCAAGGATAACACAACTGGGAGATTGTTTAAAGAAATGATCTAAAAGCATTTATTTTAACCACAGGCTATGGTAGCAAAATAATATTTTAGAATCATAGAATGAAGCAGCACAGGAGGAGGTCACTGTGGCTGGGCTGGTCTTTGAACTTATCGCATGATTGTAACACATAAAATATCAACTAACCTCACTTAAAAAACGTTTCCGTTGAGCTTCCTTTCCAGGAAACTGAATAAGTGCATGCAGAGTGGAGTTCAACTGTGTAAAATGTTGTTGCATAACCTGACCAAAGGGATCATCTGGTCGTATTTGTTCGTAGACAACAAATATTGCTGACGAAAATCGGTTTGCTGCCCAATGGATTACAGCTGAAGAACTAGACAAAAGTTTCACTTTGTCACAAACTAATCGGAAAACATGGGATTCATTACTTAAAGTATCAATCTCTTGGTTACTCGAAATATAGCTCAATTTTCTAAGAAAAAAAATTAGGATTTCATTCACAATTAGCTAATTTCTCCCAAAGCCAGGATTCTGAACTGTTTGCGCTGAGGGATACTAGGGACATTATTGATGGTCGGAAAAGCAATTTTTCTGCTCTCCTCCAGAATAACAGATGATCTTTACTATACCCCATCTATGACATTTAAAGATCTATCAGAGTAACTGGTGATGTACACCAGTTCAAAGCTTCCTTTCAACAGTCACTTAAACATTAAACTCTTGCAGTGCTTTTGAATATAGTTTAAAATTTCAGACTTTTGCACCTTAAGAATAGGTCTCTACGTATTTAAGAAAAATTCCTTCTCCATGGCATTCAGATTGTTACTTTCAGTCAAAAGTGTGAAAGTGGCAGCCTGAGAGTACATCGTGTGCAGTGTCAAAGCAGAGCCTTGGTTACTAACTAGTAACCGCAAATTAAAATAAGTTCTATCTATTCCCACAGCAGGTTTTCTCTATGTGCCCCAAATTACCCAGAATGCCTGAACAAACCAACATTCTTCAAAAAGGTCAGCTATGGCTTTAAACTTATAAACGCTGACAATCTCCAGGCTGAAAACCCAACTGAAATGCTTAAATATTGCAACAATGAAGCAACCAATAATTATTCCTTTTTATTTGAAATTTGTAAGGAGTACTGTCAATCTAGATTTCCTTGACTGTCATTGTAAAAGTTGGAACAGCTCCACAGCTATTCTCAATACCCAGACATTATCACACCCCCAGTACATTAACAAGCTCAATCAATCAATCCTGCAAATCGATTCTTGTTACCTTGCATCTCTCATATACGTCAATACAACTTCTGATAGCAACAGGGTCGGACAAGCAGGATTTAGGCCAGTCTCCATCAGTAGGTTATCTAACTCCACTATTTCAGTCATGTCAATGCCAAGCAATTTGTAATCCAAACCACAAAGATACAAATTATCTGCAATTTCAAAAATGAAATATAACAATCATTAGAAAGACACTCAATCAGAATGAGATTTGTAATGCTCTGTAATTTGAGAATAATGCATTCATAATCTATATATATAGTTGTTAGTTTGTTTGTGGTACTTACAAGTAGCAACCAGTATTTAAAGAATATAAAAAGGAAATAAAAATGAACATTCATGGTCCACACAGACACCTATATTTAATATTATTTCTAGAATATGTTAATAGTTTTCAGCAACCTTAAATTTGGCAATGCGCAATTGAGACAGACATACAAGTAGTCCTTCAGTGCAGACTAAAATCTTAATTTGCAGGAGTGCTTGATATCATTTGCCCATTATATCACTGTCAAAAGCCTTGCAAAAGTCAGGCAGCATTTTCAATGAAGCATGTACTTCAAAACAAAACATACCCATTTGGGCTGGTTTAATTTCATTCATGCAGCCTACGAGCTCCATGAATTCTTGCTTGTTTTTAATCAGAGTGGCTTTGCGCTGAACAACATCTGGAAAATCCACCTCATACACAATGACATTTTCCAGCTCCCCACTTGCCTTTAGCCGAAAGTATAAGGAATCAAACCCAGCTCCAAGTGAAAGGATCTGTAGAAACAGAAATATATACTAAGCAAAAGTATTAAGTTTTAATGTACTTTCTTTTACAGCCAGAACATAAATATTCAAGTATAATCTTGATTATATACATACAAGTACTCACAGCCCAGACAACAAATTTCAAAATATTTAGAAGAAACTCAGTTTAGACTCAGTGCAAGACTTAACAGATAAAACATGAGTGCACAAGCAGACTTTGTATTCAAAGCTAATGAAGCACTACGCACTGTGACAAAATACAAATTTGTGTTTGTGGTGCCTACTCACAAGATCCCAATCTTGACTGGCTGATTTGATTGACCAACTGAACATTCTTCATAGGAAGGGAGGGGAAATCACACCCACTCAGGGAAGCTTAATACAGTCAATAATTATTTTCATATACAAAATGATAGGAGCAGAGCAAGGCAAAATTCCCGACATTCTCACCTGTCTCTGTGAGTAACTGGCTGTCTTTTGCAAGAAACAATGCAGACTATAATCCACTGCCTTTGCCCTCACGTAGTAACCACTTCAGAGAGAAACAAAATAAAATTAGATTCCTATTGATTTTAGTGCAAATCTCAGGCTACTCCAAGATACAACATTTCTATCAAATTACAGTTCAGTGGTTAGATCATTCATGTTCATCAATTTCAAAGACTTTGGATTGCATTCTTAGCCTACACTGAAAATAAAACTCCCTAAAATCAGTAAATATGTCATCATAATTCATTGACTGGAAGGCACAAAACATTTCTCTTTTAGGTCACAACTTTCAAAAATCTATATGATGTTGCAGTAGTTGCAATGGATTCCACTGTTTTAACAGACAAAACAGACCCTTTGAATAAATTCAGTGTCACAGCCATTGTTATTTCGACACTCAAGTAATCTTGATTCCATTTAGTATCTGTTAACTGGCTCCATTATTCTGATAAAAATTTTAAAAGTCTTAGTTTAAAGCTACTTCTATAACATCTAGATTATTTGCAGACTCATAGCACAAAAACAATCCAATAGGCCAATTTTGTTCTACTAATCACTGGAAGGCCAATTTAGCTAGACCCACTTTCCTGTGTTTTCCCTGCAGTCCTCAACATTTTTCGGATACTTGTCTTACTTCCTTTTGAAACCTACAATTGAACGGCCTCCACCATTTATTCAAGTAATATGTTCCAGGATCCAACAATTTGCTGTGTAAAAGTGTTTCTGTCTTGTTGCTACCGGTTCTTTTTTAATCAACTAACATTGGTGTCCTCTCCCCTCCCCTCCTGTGAATTGACATAGTTCCTCCCTGCTTCCTGTCTAGAATCCTCACGATTTTGAACACTGTCAAATTTCCTCCCAAGCTAATCTTCTCTGAGGACAAGAGTCAAAATTTTCTAGTCTATTCACATCATTTAAGTCGCTCATCCCTGTACTCTTCTTCTGACATTTTAACGCATGGTCTCTTAAGCCCACACCCTTCTTAAAATGTGGTACCCAGAATTAAACATAACACTCCAGCTGAAGCTGAACTAGTTTCATACAAGCTAATTCTATGTTTTTGTGCTTCCTGCCTCTATGCATAAAGCCCAGGAGTCCTTATGCATTTTTTTTTAAAACAACTTTCTCGACTTGCCCTGCCACCTCCAATGATTTGTGCACCCATACCAACCAGGTCTCTTTGTAACTGCACTTACTTTAGAATTATAATATTTTGCCTCTCCTCATTCTTCCTACTAAAATGTACCACTTCTCCCTTTTCAGCATTAAATTAACCTATCACGTGAAGTTATTTCACTAGCCTCTTTATTTCCTCTCGAAATCTACCAATATCCTCCTCACAATTCACTATAGTGCCACCTGCAATATTAAAAAAACTAACGCTTGTTAGTAATAATAGTAATTGATACTACTTGGAAAGTGCAAAACTAGATAAAGCAACAAAGGAATCTCAAGAATATAAAATACATCAAACTCAGGTTAGTAATGCCATTTAACAAAGAAGCCAAGCATTAGGCTTGAACTGAAAAGTAAGTATGTTATGCCAAACCTGTACTGAACCTTGATTAGGCCACACTTAAGAGTACTGTCTACAGTTTTGATCAGCAGACATATAAAGAATACAGACAGTCTGGAAAGCATGCAATGAAGATTTACAGGGATCATAGCAGCAGTGCCTAGGTAAATATATCACTAAAGGATTGTGAGACTTGGGTTTCTCTCAAAAAAAATCTGGGGCCACCAGTAAAGATTGTCAAAATTATTGAAGGCTTTGATAAAAATAGGTAGAATGTTTTCTATTATGGGGAAGAACATAACCAAAGGTCATGAATATACAACAGTCACAAAGACTCTCCCAAAAGATTGGTAAAAAAACATTGAGCTCACTACCAAATACAACATGATTATGATAGGAGCAGCATGCTGGTAATCAAGCCACACTATTCCACACTATTCACATATTCTACAGAAATATGTAACTGCCAACTGAATCACTAAAATGGTTCATGACTTTGACTTCTATGTTTCGTTAATAAAAAAAGAAAAGAAAATGTATTTACCTTATTTTAAACAAATTTACTCTTCAACAAATGGCACAACTGATCAAGGACTAAACTCATTCATTTCTAGTATGCAAAAGTGAATTGTATCTCATTAAACCAAATGTGCACGCACACAAATAAGACAAAGAAAGATAGCTCTGCAAAAATATCATGGGTGAAAAACAATCAAAAATTAACAAGTACAATGGATCAAGAGTCTAAACCACAAAGGTGGTTTTCTCACAGTTCCTTTGGATCATTGTTGATGTTATGAGTTGGTGATGACTACAGAAGATCCTCAATTCAGCAGCCGGTCAACTGTACTTAGGCTTTGCTTCATTTAGAAGTTCTTATTTTCATAGTGAGTGTCAGTACTTTCCACTCTCAGAGGGTGAGAAAGTGAGAGACGTATCATTGCTTAAAGACTTTCAGGAGGTCTGAATGCAACTATTTTCTCATGTCTGTGACAAACTGCAACTTAAAAATTCAAAAGGTTGTTGCTAGGCCGCTTTTCAAACCAAACATCTAGTGCCACCTTGTTTCTTAACATTACCAAATGTATCTTCTCCAAAAGTTACATGACTTTGTGTAACCAGTAAATGAACACCACAGTTCCAGTGTTGACCTTCGAGTCGTGAAAAAAAGAAACACTCATTACATTTTCTGCAAGCGTAGTGCCCAAATTTCCATTTTACCCAGTTTATATTTCAAAAATTATGCAGCCATCACAAGTAATTGAAATAAATAGTATAAGTGTATTTAAGGTGAAATTAAACAAGCATTGAGGGAGAGAATGCAATAAACCATTATTAGGGTAAATTCAAATAAAGAATGATGGGAGGAGGCTTGAGTCGAATAAAAACACCAACACAGATTGGTTGGGTTAAATAGCCTGTTTCTGTGCTGTATACCTTATATAATCTCAATGTGTACATTCTTTCTCCCTCTGCCCTTTACATTTTACTAGGTCAGTCTATAATGCTATAACCACATGAAGAGCATGAATCAATTCTCTTCTTTTCAACCTTAACACTTAAATCACAATAAGGATTCAAATTTTTTTAGAATATGGCAACATGTGTCCTCAACTTAAATACAATGAACTGTTTTCACCGGAAACAATGAGGAGATTTTCTTGAAACAAAGAACAATTTTGTTACTGGCTAACCTGAGGAAAATAATACAATGTCACATCAAACATATGCCCTCTTAAAATCACATGGGCCCACACACAAATGTATAAAAGATAGTCCAGTTTCGAGGAAGGTTTAAAAAAATAGTTTCAGGTAGTTTATTTTCCTCTCTGCCAAAATCAGCTTCTTGAAATACCAGCTTGTTTGTTTGTTTGTTTCATTGTCTCTCTTAGATGAGGTTCCACCTCTGACATGTGAACACACTCAAAAGTGTAAAGCAAGTAGGAGATGTGGGGCTTTTCATACCACCCCAGTGGGGGTTTGCTGGCTGATTACATTGCCCTTGGATAAAACATTAATTCACCTTTGCTGTCTGTTGTCTAATCCACGTTGGTTTCCTGAAACTTGTGTGCTCAGCTGTGGTCATTTTAAGTCAGTTTTTTTTGGTCCATTTTCAAAATAAATTCAGTCCATGAATGTCCCATTAATATTAAATAGTGCAATGGAATTTGAAAATCAATAGCCCACATTTTATACCGCTGTGACAATATTATAGTAATTAAAATGGTGAAAAATTAGAGACATGAGAGGATTAAAGAAACTTAGGGGTCCATGTACATAGATCATTAGAATGTACTAGTTAGATCTGGAAAATAACTTGAAAGGTTGATCAAATAGGAACCTTTAAACTATAAGGCTAAAACATAAGGAGGAAGAAATTTTGCTACAACTATATAAAGCCCTGATCAGACCACTCCTGAAATATGGTGTATAGTTTCAGGCACTGTACTTTGGAAACAATATATTGACCCCGGAAGGAGTACAGTGAAATTTAACTGTAAACTACCAGGATTGCATTGTTAGATTAACAGAAGAGATTACATAAACTAGGCTTGCATTCTCCAGAATATAACCTGTTTAGAGGTGATCTGATTTAAGCTTTTAAGATTTTGAAAGGAATTGATAGAGTAGATATAAAGTAATTCCACTAGTGGAGGAAATTTAGTTCGAGGGAGAAGAAGTGTACTGTCTAATCATCAGCAACAGTCCTTCGCAGACAAGGATGACTCTCTTCCACTCTCAGGAAGACCGCTCCTGATAAGATGGCGGCAGTAACCCGGTGCCAGTGCCTATAGTAAATATGCTAACACTTTGAGCAACTACCCTGATATTTGAATTATTAGATCTTGCACATGGAATGTACACGTGGTTTCAGCAATTCTGGGCAATGGAATTAGGCAAGGTTGGATGGGGGGGTCATCTACGGTTTCCTTTCCGTGATCCCATCCTGGGATTAGGGGCAGAAGGATAGGGCATAACTCTGATCACTTTGTCTATCTCAAGAATAACCTACTAGTGCTCTCATCAGCTAAGCTCACAACTTAGTACTGGCCACTTGAATGAGGTATGGTTCTCAAGGAACTACATCCAACATAAGTCAATGCTTTTCAAAAGCACAGAAATTAACAAAATTCCCCATGATTTAAGTAAGGTGACAATACTGAAACACATAATTCAAAGTAATCTCCCTTTAACATGCAAGATGTATCAAATTCAAGAATGATTTTCAGAACACAACCAAATAACTGCATGCATAACATACCGATTGATAAGTGGAGCTCTTCTGGTGGTTTTATTTGCAAATCCCTTCAGGAAGCCATCATTGAAGTAGCCTAAACTGGCCATTGAACACTTGCTAACAATACTGCTGTCATTTGTACCCTGGACCTGCAAACAAGTTCAAAAGAAAACAATGCAAATGTAAATAAGCAATATTTCTGTACTGTATTGGATAACAACACTTTACAAGAAAGGGACATTGCACTTAACTTCAAGTTCCTTTTATGTTTGCTTTTTTCAAAAAAATGTTATACTTTAATGATTTGAATGATAGGGCATTAGCATTGCCCAGCAAGGGAACTTCTACATTTCAGAGACAGCAAAACTGAAGAAGGTTGAGAAAACACAAAGGGGAATCAAAAGCCACTGTTAATAACAAGGCAGAATTAGCCATATTACTCCCACTGGATGCAAATTAAACCATTGGGAAACAATAGAGAAAACAAAGAGTTTCTTTTTAATTCATTCATGGGATGTGGGCATCACTAGCTGCACCAGCAGTTTTAAAAACTGGAATTAGCAGTCTTGGAAGTCCTATGGTACATTAAAACTTATTTAAATCACTTTCAAATAATAGATTAGCAGTAAAGCATTATTTCTAAGTAGTCTTATGCTGAATTTTAAATTTAAATAGAATCTTGGTTAAGTAGCTATTGTACCAAGTAATGTAGCTGCATTTCAATCTTTTCACTAAATGGAAGTGCCACACTGCAGCTTCCACTGTAGTTTTTTTCAGTCATCGTTATTTCTTTTCAAAATAAAAGATAAACAGGCACACTTTCTTACAAGAACTGGATTTTTTTCTACTTTCTTTGGCTGTATAACTTCTATGTTCCTATCTCCCTCTTGTTTATAGAAATCTTTTATTCAATACTGTATAATCATGGAAGAACGCATGTAATGAGGGGAATTTCAGTAGGGAACATTTCATAAATGGATGTTTTTAAACTCAACTGGATCACTAAAAAAAAGTAAATGTGAGGTTTTTT